AGGCCCGGCTTTGGGGGGGGGCATGTCCCCCGGAAAAATTTTGAATTTCAACCCATGTTTTGCATGTTGAGGGGCAAATTTGGCAGCACAAATTTCGCTGGTACATCGAGCTATTAAAGTCAGTAACGTTACGGTCAGTCAGTGTAATCGAAATAAATCTAGCCTACCTTTCGTCCACGAACTTCTTCCGCGTCAATTTTATTACAAACAGGGAAACAATATTGCCAAGTTACGTGTTGTTTTCAATTAACTTTGGAGGGACATAGATATAGATGTTAAAATAGTCCTTGGTTTAAAAAAATACCAAATTAATCCGACATCCACGCCGAGAAGTTTGAGCGAGTTGCGAGGCGGGACCAGCGGGTCACCTTTGCCGACGCACGCACACCACTGGGAAGGGTGCGTTGAACGGCGAAAATTAATTTTCAAAATCTTCCGACAAGCCTCCCCTACATTTTTGATCGGTATCGTTTTGATAGCCGCGATTGACATGACTTTAATCCATGTAATTTGGCTGTGTAGTCCAGTTTCGCCGATTCTGGCGAAAATGCAAGATTTTGAAGAGGACTGTGGGAGATTTGGGCGAATACATTTGTGATAGTAGGGATGGATATTATTGGAACGTAAAATTCTGCCGATTCCAATGACCGGCAAATCGCTACGATATGTATGGGACAGACGTTAATCTTGTTTTGAAAGTGTATAAAAACGTTGTAGAGTTGAAGGGATCTTGAAAAAAAATTTTTACCTAGGCCCTCCCATAATTAAAATATTTTTTCCTAGGCCCTCCCCCCGGCTCAATTTTTTTGTCCTAGGCCCTCCCCCCTCAGACGACCGGCCCTCCCCCCCCCCGGTAAATATCGTACAGTCCCTAAGCAGTGTGCATAACCACCTCTGGTCTATAAGTTTTGTTTATTTCTAGATGTACAATTATTACTTCTCAGCATTGTAAATCACCAAATCTGGTGTACATGTATACGTTTTGTTGCTAAATGTAACAGCATTGTACATAACCACGGTCTCTGTTGAAGTTTTGTTTGGGTATTAGCTAAATGTATAATGACCACTTCTCAGCATCATACATAACCACATCTGGTCTATAATTACACTGTAAATCACATTCGCCGTAGCAAAATTTCGGATCTGAGAAAAATGGACATGTTCGCGGAACTACATGTATATGATAGTGGTGGTGGTAGGTGCAGAAGAAAGAAAGTTGGTAAATTATTTGTTCGCAGTAATGATAAATTTGCGGTGCAGATCTAGAAATGACCGCGAAAACTGCGAATATAAATGTACCGCGAGTATTAAGTGATTTATAGTGTCTTTTAGTTGTTGCTAAATGTGCAACTTTCACTTCTCAGGGTATCCAATGAAAAGAGTAACTACACACTGGATTATAGAAAGGGCAAACCTAGTGGAGCCTGTGATCACCTCATCAAGTCAGCGTTTCGACAAGCGTTCTCTACTGTGGACAGGGACAATGACAATCTCCCCTTCAGCTGTGCTAAGCTCTATGGAGGAGGGTGGTGGTATACGTATTGTGGTTCCACCACATTCCTTAACCAACAGTGGGACTGTGAAAAAAATCGGGAATGTTGTCCTATCAAGGTAAAGCCGACGTCTTTGAAGCTGAAACCATAACTGTGTACATGACAATATGACGCAGCTCAATCTTGCTTATTTTTGGTGGTAGTGTGCTTATTTGTTAATAGAAATGAAATTGATATTAACTATTCTTCAAAATTAGTGTTAAAATCCATACCATAGCAGAGATACAACAGAATTTTGCCACTATGAACAAAGGTTTCTTGAAATAGCAAATAACAGTATTATTTAAGTATACCTACTTATCATAGAATATTACAATATGTACAAGAAAAATTCAAACCCTCAGTAGCTTCCTTCGCAGACGTCTCTTTTACGCGGGCTGATGTTCTCTGAGCGGCATGATGGGTAGTTGTTATGCCGCTGAGGCAGTTTCGCCTCCGTGTCAACGTTATTTGTCTTCATCTCCCATTGTACTGACTTTTAAAGTGACGTCGATAAAGCAGGAAGAGTCCTGAGCTCCTATTTTGTTCCTCCTTTATGGAATCAGTCTCCGGCCTGAAAGGTGAACGGGCACGGACTCTGTAGTAAGAAGCTCAAAAGATTACTATGTGGTGAAACTCTGTTTATGTAATTCTGTGACAATGTTTCAAGTAATAATAAATTACTTACCCAGATTTACGCAACATTGCTGCTGTAGATTTGCTGTATGGGTGGCTGAGGCTTGGGTTTTTATGGCATGTATCATGTAAAAAGTTAATTCTATAAACTGACGAATGGCTGAAATTGTACAATTTTGATAACACCACATTAACATAATATTTCATACCTGTTTTACAACTTATATTAATGATCAAAGTTTATGATGGATGTTTGCTTAACGTTGCATCAGAACTTTTTAAAAGTTTGAAATAATGTTTAGTCATTTATTTACAACTTAAAACTGACTAAAAATCTTTAATATAACCATAGTCAGTAACCCATGTATATTGAAATAAGGGCTCGTATAAAGCTTAAAAGAGATTCGTTTCCCTTTGAAGTTGATTACTTTTCTTATTGAATAACTATAACTTGTTTCAGGCACTGTTGTTTACAGTTATGTTATGTTCAGCGTTCCAAGAGACAAAATGCTGGCCGAATAAAGCACAATGTAAAAAGTTTAACCCATTCATTTACATGCGTACAGCTTATATTGCGTTACACTACATCTGGCTTGATGCAAAGCATTTTGGGATTGATTGTTTCTCCACTGTGCATAAAAGCTAATGATACATGTGGTGTCGACAAATGACAATGAATATTGAATAGAGGACTGCCGTACAAATGCTCAAAAAGGCTTGGAAAAGCCTCCGTGAACAGTTTCATCAGGTTGGTAAGACACCGAGTAAAGAGACTCTTTTTACACAACCAAGTCTTATATTGCCCTGTGGAAGGTGACAGACGGTCACCCAAACGTCGGCTGAATAAAAGACTTGGTTGTGTAAAAAGAGTTTCTTTACTCAGGGTTGGAAAAGCTTTTAAGTTTATTTGATGTCTAATAAAAAGAACTCTTACTAATCCCACGCACTGCACTGGTGTTTGTAGTGTGGGTTTCTCATCATAATCCATGATGTCAACACTTTCCTAATAAGTCTGAGCGGAAAGAAAAGGCACCACACGGACTCAGAGTCGATCATTTTTTTCTGGTCCAGGATTGACACCTGAAATCAGCTCGATATAGCTGTTATCAGTTGTTTTAAGTCACCAACAGTAACTACAAATTAGAGAAATATTCTTTTCAAAAGAAAAACGTAGAAAGAAAAGATGCCGGCAGTAGATGAGGATAAAGTCCGACCTGTGCCACGCCTTGAGCAAGAACCTACTGACTCTATCGGTTCTCATGCTGAGCTGCCCCTCACTCCAAACTCTAGCCACCAGGGTGAAATGGCGGGGCAGGAAATACCCATGTCACAACTGTATGGAGACACAACAGACAACGAGGAATCTACTCGAAACACTGAAGAACGATATGGTCAAGACGTGGGTAAAGATAGTTCTCAGATGGTCTCCCGCCTCTATGGAGACACAACTGATATCAAGGAGTCGGTGTCACCATCTAACGCAGAAGAGAAACCCAGACTGATGTCAGAACTTTGTGCTTGTGGAGATCCAACAGATCCAGACGCTTTGACCCGGCTCTATGAGAACTCAGAGAACAAGAAACAATATGATGAGGACAAGCAGTCAACGTCTGTGCTGTACCAGGCAGGGACCCCACCCGATGAAGGGGACCAAACTGGAGACATGTCTGCCACAGGTAGGTGCCCAATATGTTCTGTTTGAAAAGTAATTACTATTGTTGGTACGTCGGTCAAGGTTAGACATCCAGGTGACAAGATAAGCCGAAAAACAGTTACTCAAGCAACCGGATATGATTTTGGAAACGGTCAGACGTTTTAGTTATAAATATATATATAAGTAGCATCCACTACTTTTCACCAGTGACACCAGTTGCTTGAGTAACTGTTTTTGGCGTACATTATTGTTGGATTCTAACATACTATCATCATCATGATCATCAGGTCGAGGTCATCCTTTTTTTTGAGAGGATCACCTGTATAAGGGCTTGCACTTGCACCTCCATGGAAAAAGGCTCGCACCTGCAGCTGTATAGAGGTTTGCACCTGCAGCTTGCGCTTGCAGCTGTATAAAAGTACGGCGGTCTGTCACTACGGCATTCTTTCCCATTGCTAGGCGCGTTCTAAAAAGTATCGGGTTACAAGACGCTATTTTGGCCTGTTTTGGACTACCCGTAAAATATTTGAAAATAAACAAATAGTATTTAATGGCAAATTTCGTCAAATTGAAATGAAATTATCGTCTTAACATCCTTTTAATGTTAGCTTTTTATGTCAAATCACTGATTTGTTTTTCAAATTTCGCTCAGAAAGACGATTATTTTCGGGTTTCCGAGCACAAGTCATGTCATGTTTATAGGCATACCTCGTTCAAACCTGGCTGCGTGTATCACCCAAGATCTTTGTATTTTATATTTCGACGACGAGGAATAAGATAAAAAATCGTGTTTTAGGGATGTTTTAATTTCTGATTTTAAGTCTAGTTTTTGTCAACATATTGGTGAAAAAATTGCATCTTTTGACATTTTTCTCATTTTTCTAATTCAAAATTGAGGCCATTTTTTAAAAATCCCTAAAACACGATTTTCGGGACAACCGTTACAGTCATTTTGAGCCGTAAATGGGGTATGTTTGACTCTCCATGTTTCCAGGTTTGAACGAGTTTTGCAGACATGTCATATCACCCGAAAGTGTGCATTGTGTTATTCATACACGTGTAAAGAATCATTACAGTATTCAAGGTCAACCAAGGATACGACAGTAGCTTTGCTGCATGTTACACGTCCACAAAAAATGATAGCAGACATGTACTGTGCTGGAAACTGTTTGTATCTATAGAAACGTGTGGTTTTTTATCTGTTGCGAGGCACTCAGGCAGAAGGGCTTGTTTTGCGGCTTTATTGTAAATAACGGCAGATGACCCCGGAATGGAACGCGGGTTCGATTCGAATTGCCCAGATCGAACACGATCGAACACTGTTCGGGTTCTATGACATGTGGGAACTTTGCAGCCCAGATTTTACCACCGTGAAGCTTGCACTTGTACTAAGGCTTACACCTGTATAAACGCTTGATATTCGTAGAGCATGAGTTTTTGAAAGCACTTCCATCATGGCGACTTGTTAAAATATGTTCTAGGTACAAGTCCAAATTTGAACGAAACCATGCCTTGCCATCAAGACACTGCCCCTCCCGGTACTGATACGAAGGTAGAAGCCGTTAACACGATGGTCAGATTTGGGCCCAAAAGTCCCACTCCGCTACTATGGAGATCGAATCCCCCGAACCCGCGAATCTTGTTCGATATGACGTCATTCGAATAGAGCGGGCGTTCGATCTGGGGTTACCCGCGGTCATTTACAGTAAAGCCGCTACAACCGGCTACTTCAAGCCCTTTTTTACTTGGGAACCACGGAACAGGAAAAATCCACCTTTCCACAAATATGAACCGTTTTCAAAACATTACATCTATGCCGTGATTTTATTGTGGATATGTAACATGTAACGAAGCTACTGCCGTCATCGTGGGTGACCTTGAAGGTCAGAATTCTTGTTGGCGCTGTTATAAAATCCAGGTCACCATATCCAAGTGGCACAGCATGCGTGCAAACATGGTATTTTAACCATTCCCGAAAATCGCTCAAATTACCTCATTGAGGGCTTGTTTGAAAGAGGAACGATTTCCGCAGATTTCTGTCTTAGGGATTTTTCAAATATGGCCGCGATTATGAATTATCGGTATTTAAAGTTAAAACACTGCGTTTTTAGCTCTTCTTTTGACTGTAAGTCGAGTTTTAGTTAAAAAATTAAAAAATCCTAAGACAGAAAGTTTAAATTTACTGTAATATTTCTAAAAATCCAAAAATTTAACCTTATTTTTAATTTTCGGGGCCTCTTAAAATCAGTTGTTTGGTTCTCGTGAACCCTTTTTGAAATCCGAACTTGATCTCATTTGGAAGCAAATGTACACAAGTGGAGCAAAGGCAGTGCAAGAATAACATTTGAGGTAAACAAAATCACTTATTACATTTTATTTTGACGAGTATTTACTCTCCAATTACTTTTGTTTATTTTCAAATTTTACCCGTTGCCCCCGGGCCGGCCCGGGACTCCCGCACGGCCACGTTCGAACACGTTCTGTAACCCGATACCTCCCTAGTAATGCGACTTTTAGCCTAGCAACCGACCGCCGTGTAACTGTCAGACAGCTTCAGTCACCAGTATTACGACGGGAATGCTGAACCCCATGTACAAACACAACGTGCCACAAGGGGCAACGAAAGAAGGTATCAATTTCTACTGTTGACAATCAGGGGGGGGGGGCAATCTATGGCACAGATTGTGGCATATGGTTTGCGGTCTTAATTTTTTTTAGAACATATTCACTTTGACTCAGTCGGGATGGTTCATTTTCAAGAATAAAATTAGTTACTTTCTCAGCCAATAACATGAATTTAGATTTATTAATTTATAAATGTGATTAATGTTAGGTGACCAAGAAAAAACACCGAATCGAGTTTAGATATTTGGAATGTCAGTTATACAGTTATCGAATATGTTATCATCCCAATTTTTCCAACAGGTTCGTCGGTTATCAAGGCGGTTATCACTGGCATGGAAAATCCTGTGTACCGCAAAAACGTGTCACAAAGAGCAACAGATCAAAGTTTTGTTTGTTTGTTTGTTTGTTTGTGATTTCAAATTCTAAATAATGTTAGGTGACCAAGATAAAAACACCGAATCGAGTTTAGATAGTTGGAATGTCAGTTATACAGTTGTCGAATATGTTATCATCCCAGTTTTTATCAAGGCAGTTATCACTGGCATGGAAAATCCTGTGTACCGCAAAAACGTGTCACAAGGAGCAACAGATCAAGGTTTTGTTTGTTTATTTGTTTGTGAATTCAAATTTCAAATTATGTTAGGTGACCAAGGAAAAACACCCAGTTTGAGTTTAGATATTTGGAATGTTAGTTATAGCAAATGTCATCATCCCATTTTCCAGCATGTCCAGCCATTGTTGGCCGGCAAGTTTTTTTTTTTATAAATGGAAAATAATCGGTTTTATACATTTTTTAAATGAAATTAACTCGTAGAGAGAGATTTTCACAGTAAAATGTTGCTACAGCTACATACAGACTAATTGAGTCACGTTTTACAGTGTTTCAATTTTTTTCCAACTCAACTCTTTTGATTTCATGGTTTATTCATCTGATCTGTCAATTGTTGTCCCACCTATTTCTAAGCCCTTCGCATTTTAGCCCAAATAGGTAAAAAAAATGGTAGCCTACCTACCCAATAACAATAACAAAAGCTGAGAATGAACATACATTGTAAAGGTTTCTCAATTTGTACGTCGGTGAAGGTTAGACACCCAGGTAATAAGATACGCCAAAAACAGTTAGGCAACTGGAATTTAAAAATAATAGGTTTTTTTTTGGCGTTTCTCAGTATGATCTATGTTTCAGGGGAGCTTACATGTAACTCTTTTAGTCAAAACACAATTTATCTTTTGATGAAAGACTTAAAAGCGGTTTGTCAACATGTTTTTTTTTTATTAGATATAAGCGAGGCAGAGGCTGAACATGTCTATGAAAATATGGATGTCGTCACTCCCGGTACTGATGGGAAAGAGGGAAATGTAGACAGCAGCACAACAAAACAAAGGGTCACTCAACGTCAACCCCCAGTCCACGATGTGCCACAAGCGGCACCGGGGGCAGGTGAGAAAACTTACTGCTAAGCTTTAATATCAACCCTCCGCCAGGGGGCCCAAACGCTAATAATTTCGAATTTTCATCAATACCTACCCACCTACCAAATATCAAGATAACCCATTTAAGCGTTCTCGAGGTATGCTGACACACACATGCACACACACACACACACACACACACACACATGCACACACACACACACACACACACACATACATACACAAACACAGTTTATGATGTAAAATAAAACTAAGTATAACGAGTTCCAAAGGAAGAAACTAATTTTAAATTTTAACACCACATAATTAGTTTTTATTGCCTACTTAATACCTAATATATTGTTTTTTATTTTGTTTTACAGGTGCACATGCCATCAACGAAGGTGAGACCTCCTGTTTCAGACGGATGTTTCGCACTACCTTTTCCCGACTAACCTTCGCCATCGTCATAGTCGCTACCATGATGAGTGTGGTGGCGATGACAATGTTCTTCTCTAAAAGCCAGGTTCGTAGGACTAGGACTATAGTTTCACATCTCCAATAATTGATTAAGCTATTTTAAGTCAGTGCAGTATTGGAAGTAGTGTGTAATATTTTTGCATGTACCATTCTATTTCAGGTAACACGTGTGATAATGAATCATAAGGCTTGTCTGTTGATCTTCTGTATCTACACACATATATATATATATATATATATATTTAGTCCAGGTTTCTTATATTTTACCAGAAGGTATAAGTCTGCTACCTTCGATTATAGATCTCTATAGTCACCCATGTGATAGACTAACAACAGAATAATAATTACATGTATCTGAGCACACATTAAGTGGTAGATGTGCATAATTAAAGATCTAAGTTACATAATCATCAATGTTATGAGACTATATTATTTGTATATTAGTAAGTTATGTGTACATTTTTCCCATTTGTGTATTGTTCAAAAATTGATTGCGAGTCAATGGAAAAGGACTGATCGCTGGCTCTATATATGAATTTTCTACCGTACTTTGGCTCTACGGTACTCTTGTTCTACTAAGACCACTGTTTCCCTTTCCAAGCCACACCGTTCATCGCATCGGCCCACTCCAGTTGTGGAGTCTTCTGTCTCATCAACTATGTCAGCTGAACCTACGACAGAAGCCACCACAATGTTCATCTCTAAAAGCCAGGTTCGTAGGACTAGAACTATAGATTCACATCTCCAATAATTGATTAAGCTATTTTAAGTCAGTGCAGTATTGGAAGTAGTGTGTAATATTTTTGCATGTACCATTCTATTTCAGGTAACACGTGTGATAATGAATCATAAGGCTTGTCTGTTGATCTTTGCGTATAATATATATATATTATTATACGCAAAGATCAACAGATCTCTCTCTCTCTCTCTCTCTCTCTATATATATATATATATATATATATATATATATATATATAGTATATACTATATATATATATATATATATATATATATATATATATATATATATATATATATATATATATATATATATAGTCCAGGTTTCTTATATTTTACCAGAAGGTATAAGTCTGCTACCTTCGATTATCATGTATATATCAGTAGATCTCTATAGTCACCCATGTGATATTCTAACAACAGAATAATAATTACATGTATCTGAGCACACATTAAGTGGTAGATGTGTATAATTAAAGATCTAAGTTACATATTCATCAATGTTATGAGACTATATTATTTCCATATTAGTGTACATTTCTCCCATTTGTGTATTATTATTCAAAAATTGATTGCGAGTCAATGGAAAAGGACTGATCGCTGGCTCTATATATGAATTTTCTACCGTACTTTGGCTCTACGGTACTCTTGTTCTACTAAGACCACTGTTTCCCTTTCCAAGCCACACCGTTCATCGCATCGGCCCACTCCAGTTGTGGAGTCTTCTGTCTCATCAACTATGTCAGCTGAACCTACGACAGAAGCCACCATGATCCTGCCTCCAGGGAACTCAACCGCCCTGCCACTCAACAAAACTACGATACACCGTGAAGGGAACAACACATGCGGTAAGAGACATAAAGACAATAATGTAAGGCTCCGTTCCCACTACTGTAAAATAATCCAGATCGATCCGGATAGGGTTCGGTCCGAATCGATCCGGACAAATTTACAACATTGGGAACGCGGATCCGGTTCGATTCGGCTTGATCCGGCTCTTCAACGATCCACCTCGCGAGGTAGATCGAATCCCGATCGAGCCGGATCAAGTCGGGGATCTTCTGTGTTGGGACGCTCACCGGATCAAACCGGCTTGGTTGACAGGCTTGGTCACATCATACTTCCAGGTTCACAGGGTCATATACGAACAGTGTGAATATTTCTCCCCCAATTTGTCTTGAATTGTCTTTACTTGTCGTTTCCACTGTAGCTCAATACACTCCCTACTTCCAGTACACAATTTTCAAGAGATAAAGGGCCAATGAGGGACACAAGCAGTTTGTGTCCCTCATATTATTTTCAAACTAAAGCCAGGTATCCATTTTACTGGGAGAAGGAAGGAAAATCGTGTGAAATACCATGGCCAAGGACACAACGTCTAGCCAGGAATGTCAGAGATCGAACAAATGACCTCTTGAACTCGTGTCAACTAGCCTAGCCACTCGAGCATTCGAAACCGAAAAAAAGGCAAACTTAAGACGACTTTCTCCTACCATGTTTGCAGCCCCAGGAAAATGCCGTGACTGTGCTGAGATCTACGAGGGAGGATCCACAACAAGCGGCGTTTACCTCGTCACCCTGCAGAACAACACACCTGTGGAGGTCTACTGCGACATGGACACTGACGGTTAGGCAGAAACATGAAAGTATTATGATAAGGGTTAAAAGAGTATTGTGGGCAGTTTTTCCTGAACATACTATTAGCTGTAACTCACAATCCCTTTGATACATTGATAATATGTAGCTTGGCTAGATGTCTGCTAGTTTGCTCAAGATAATGCACATTTTTATACCGTATCTGTTATGGCATATTTCTTTAGAGAGCACCCCTACTCTGATGGAGTTTTGGAACAGGTCATTAATCTCGTTGGCTTTAGTGAGTGTGCGCTAATAGGGTTTCTCCAAGCAGATGTTGGGTTTGGTGTTGTGTTATGTTAACGCCTTGGGCGCCTGGTTCTAAATAGAGAGCCTGATCAGATGTTTCTTTTAAATTTGTCGATGGATATCAATTATGTAAATGAAGTACTAATTTGCATAATTGATAGAGTCGAACGTTACTCAATGGTGGTGAATGATGATAACTTATTTCTTGTGGTATTTGAAAGTCTAGTAAAATTTAACATTAGATCTAAATAATGCAATTAAGGCCTCATCTACATAATTTAAGCGCAAATGCTAAAATAGCCTTAGTTTTACTAAGAATTTTCATACTTTGAACATGTTTTTGTCTGTGTCTTTATACCTATAAATCAAACCGCTTTGTTTAAATTTGCCAAGCGTCTTAGCCAAATCGCAAAAACCATGTTTACTTACAGAAGATTGTGTCCTACGAATATTCATTTAGTATGTGTGAATGACATCGAGCCCAAAGAACTGAGATTTCTTTCGATGTCATTTTCAGTTTACTCCTGTTGGTAGACAAAATTGCATCATTCTGTTTTACCCAGGCGGGGGTTGGACTGTCATCCAGCGCCGGATTGACGGGACTGTTCCGTTTAACCGTACCTGGGAGGAGTACAAACGGGGGTTCGGGAACAAGGACGGGGAACACTGGCTGGGGAACGACAACATCCACCTCCTGACCAACCAGAAGGACTACAGGCTGCAGCTCTTCTTTCAGAATAAACAAAAATACTTTACCTACACTTGCAGCCGAGGTTTCTTTAAGTAAGTTGTGCATTATCTTAGCAAAGCAATCCTCTCCATTCAGCATTATGGTATTATGAAATGTTGTCATAAATTACGCAAATGAGATAGCATATCCGATGATGTTCCTCTCTTCTTTGGTTATACATGTATACGTATATGTCACAAGATTTGATGTCTTATAGTGAAATACATGTGATTTATTTACCTTTTGTTTGTTATTCTTTTCACTTTCAACATTGTAACAACTCTGGTCTATAACTGTACTTTTTATTTGTTGTTTAATATACAATTTTCCCTTTTCAGAGTATCTGATGAAAGGAATGACTACAGACCTGATCATGGAAAGGGCAAACCTAACAGTAACTGTGATTTGCTTATGAGGTTTACGTTTGGACAAGCGTTCTCTACTGTGGACAGGGACAATGATAATGTCCAGACCGTCAACTGTGCTGAGCGCTATGGAGGAGGGTGGTGGTATACGAATTGTGGTTCCAGCGCATTCCTTAACAATCAGAGGGAAAGCAAAAATCGGAAATTTTGTCCTATCAAGGTAAAACCGACGTCTTTGAAGCTGAAACCATAACTGTGTACATGACAGTATGACGCAGCTCAATTTTGCTGAGTGTTTTTGGTGGTAGTGTGCTTATTTGTTAATAGAAATGAAATTGATATTAATTATTCTTCAAAATTAGTGTTAAAATCCATACCATAGCGGAGATACGACAGAATGTTGCCACTATGAACAAAGGTTTCTTGAAATAGCAAATAACAGCATTATTTAAGTATACCTACTTATCATAGAATATTACAAAATGTACAAGAAAAATTCAAACCCTCAGTAGCTTCCTTCGCAGACGTCTCTTTTACGCGGGCTGATGTTCTATAAGCAGCATGGGTAGTTGTTGTGCCGCTGAGGCAGTTTCGCCTCCGTCTCAACGTTATTTGTCTTCATCTCCCATTGTACTGATTTTTAAAGTGACGTCGATAAAGCAGGAAGAGTCCTGAGCTCCTATTTTGTTCCCCCTTAATGTAATCAGTCCCCGGCCTGAAAGGTGAACGGGCACGGACTCTGTAGTAAGTAGCTCAAAAAATTACTATGTGGTGAAACTCTGTTTTGTACTTCTGTCACAATGCATCAAGTAATAACAAATTATTTACCCAGATTTACGCAACATTACGGCTGTAGATTTGCTGTATGGGTGGCTGAGGCTTGGGGTTTTATTGCATGTATCATGTAAAAATTTAATTCTATAAAACTGCCTAATGGCTGAAATTGTACAATTTTATTTGATAACACCACATTAACATAATATTTTAGACCTGTTTTACACCTAATATTAATGATCACAGTTTATGATGGATGTTTGCTTAACGTTGCATCAGAATTTTTTAAAAGTTTAAAATAATGGTGTCATTTATTTACTACCTACAACGTTTTTCACAACTGCCTAAAAAGATTTTATCAAATCATAGTCAGTAACCCATGTATATTGAAATAAGGGCTCGTATAATGTTTAAAAGGGATTCGTTTTACCTTTGAAGTTGATTACTTTTCTTATTGAATAACTATAACTTGTTTCAGGCACTGTTGTTTACAGTTATGTTATGTTCAGCGTTCCAAGAGACAAAATGCTGGCCGAATAAAGCACAATGTAAAAAGTTTAACCCATTCATTTACATGCGTACAGCTTATATTGCGTTACACTACATCTGGCTTGATGCAAGGCATTTTGGGATTGAATATTTCTCCACTGTGCATAAAAGCTAATGATACATGTGGTGTCGACAAATGACAATGAATATTGAATAGAGGACTGCCGTACAAATGCTCAAAAAGGCTTGGAAAAGCCTCCGTGAACAGTTTCATCAGGTTGGTAAGACACCGAGTAAAGAGACTCTTTTTACACTACCAAGTCTTATATTGCCCTGTGGAAGGTGACAGACGGTCACCCAAACGTCGGCTGAATAAAAGACTTGGTTGTGTAAAAAGAGTTTCTTTACTCAGGGTTGGAAAAGCTTTTAAGTTTATTTGATGTCTAATAAAAAGAACTCTTACTAATCCCACGCACTGCACTGGTGTTTGTAGTGGGTTTCTCATCATAATCCATGATGTCAACACTTTCCTAATAAGTCTGAGCGGAAAGAAAAGGCACCACACGGAATCAGAGCCGATCATTTTTTTCTGGTCCAGGATTGACACCTGAAATCAGCTCGATATAGCTGTTATCAGTTGTTTTAAGTCACCAACAGTAACTACAAATTAGAGAAATATTCTTTTCAAAAGAAAAACGTAGAAAGAAAAGATGCCGGCAGTAGATGAGGATAAAGTCCGACCTGTGCCACGCCTTGAGCAAGAACCTACTGACTCTATCGGTTCTCATGCTGAGCTGCCCCTCACTCCAAACTCTAGCCACCAGGGTGAAATGGCGGGGCAGGAAATACCCATGTCACAACTGTATGGAGACACAACAGACAACGAGGAATCCACTCGAAACACTGAACAACGAGATGGTCAAGACGTGGGTAAAGATAGTTCTCAGATGGTCTCCCGCCTCTATGGAGACACAACTGATATCAAGGAGTCGGTTTCACCATCTAACGCAGAAGACAAACCCAGACTGATGTCAGAACTTTGTGCTTGTGGAGATCCGACAGATCCAGACGCTTTGACCCGGCTCTATGAGAACTCAGAGAAAAGGAAACAATATAATGAGGATAAGCGGCCAAAGTCTGCGTTGTACCAGGCAGGGATCCAAACCGATGAAGGGGACCAAACTGCAGCTGGAGACATGTCTGCCACAGGTGGGTACCCAATGTGTTCTGTTTGAAAAGTAATTACTATTTTTGGTACGTCGGTGAAGGTTAGCCATCCAGGTGATAAGATAAGCCAAAAACACAATCAAACAATTGGATATGATTTTGGAAACGGTCCAAAATCATATCCAGTTGCTTGACTTACTGTTTTTTGGCGTGCATTATTGTTGGATTCCAATATACTGTGTCCTCTCTATTATCAAAATCATCAGCAGGTCGAGGCCATCCTTGTTCTTGAGAGGAGCACCTGCATAATGGCTTGCACTTGCACCTGCATGGAAAAATGCTCGCACCTGCAGCTGTATAGAGGCTTGCACCTGCAGCTTTAGATCATAGAAAGCCTTGCGCTTACAGCTGTATAAAAGCTTGCACTTGTACTAAGGCTTACACCTGTATAAACGCTTGATATTCGTAGAGCATGAGTTTTTGAAAGCACTTCCATCATAGCGACTTGTTATAGGTACAACTACTGTTCTAGGTACAACTACTACGAGTCCAAATTTGAACGAAACCATGCCATGCCATCAAGACACTGCCCCTCCCGGTACTGATACGCAGGTAGAAGCCGTTAACTGTCAGACAGCTTCAGTCACCAGTATTACGACGGGAATGCTGAACCCCATGTACAAACACAACGTGCCACAAGGGGCAACAGAAGAAGGTATGGATTACTGATTCAAATTGGAAGAAAAAAATCCATAACACATGAAAAGATTGTGGCATGCTTTACAATTTGTCTTTTATTTGTTTTAATCCAAATTCACAGTGTATACTATATTCTTGAAGAGCAAACTTAAATTTGACAGTTCGGGTTGGCTCATTTTCAAGAAAGAATTGTATGAATTACCAAAAGAATGACCAAACTTGTCATCCGTCATAGGAACAAGTTGCGAGCTTGAAGATAACCCAGCATGGAAGAGAGAAACGGCCCATCTTGGCACCAATGCAGCATTTGGAAACTTAAAGAACAACCGACCTTCGGTTGTTATGAAAGGCATGGTTAATCCTGCATATGGTAACAACGTGCCACCAGCAACAGATCAAGGTGTTTATTTCGTGTTTTGTTTATTTGTTTGTTTCATTAAAATTTCCATACAAGCTGGAAGGGCTTTAAAACGTCAATCAGTTACTGCCTAAGCAAATATCATGAATTGGTTTAGATCTAGTCATCTAGATACATGTAAGTAAATGTTAGGTGACCTAGGATCGAGTTTGGAATGTCAATTATACCAAATTATACCAATTTTCAGTCACTTTTTCAGCATTTCCGGCCATAGAGTCCATTCCGCGTCACCGAGTGGGTTTTTTTCTCCATGTTTCTAATACGTTTGAATTATTTAGAAGAAAAGAATACCCCAGTAACAAAAGTTCTAATTTTTTCAAAAATTTGAAAATGAAAATTTGAATATATTTGAATTCATTTATATATTTCTGAAACATTTTGAATGTGACTGAACAAAGATCTCTTTCTTTAGAATAAATTTGAACTACCCATGTGTTTCTTTCACAATTCGAAATATTTAGAACTATTTCAAACAAATAACCAAATGGTAGATGTGGGTAATTGCCCCCATAAAAGTAGGTGCTAATCCTACTCTTCTGTCTTCCTCTGTATATTTTTAGATTTCACTGCTGGACAGTGGTGGCTCTTTTGTTGTAAGGCATCAATGCCTGACACCCAGGCAGTCTACCCTGTACTTCACAGGGATGTGTGAATTACTTCCTTCCCATCCCACTGACCTATTTACAAAATGTTAGAAATAATTCGAAATAATGGTAAAAAAATGGTAGAGTGCTGTTAGAAATATTTAGAAACTATTGGAAATGTCATATTCCACATCAGGAATATTTCAAACGTTTTAGAAAACCAGGGAATTATTTAGAATATTGGCAAGATGTTCAAAATATTTCCAAATAATGAAATTTCTTAGACAAACAATTACAAAGAATTCAAAACATTTCTAAATAATGACAATAACAACCCACTTGGTGACGCGGAATGGACTCTAGTTGGCTGACAAGTTGTTATTTTGATAAATAGAAATAATAGTATACACATTTGGCACAAAATTATCTCGTAGCTAGATATCTTGAATGTAAAATGTTGCCACACAGACTAATTGAGTCACGTTTTTACAGTGTTTCATTTTTTTCAAACGCAGCTCTTTTGATTTCATGGTTTATTCATCGGATCCTTCAAATTGCACATTTTGTGATTTAGCCCCGACGATTTGCAAGCTCCTCGCAATATAACACCTGACTAAAAAGAAAGGGTAGTCGGCCTATCCAACAAACAATAACAAAGGGAGAAAATTTCATTGTATAACAAAGGTTTCTCGACTTTCTTGATGTTTTAATTGCAAGGGGCACTCTTTTTTGTGAAAAACTTCAAAGCGGTTTGCCAACATGTTTTTGGCGACGTCTCAGGGAGGAGCCTAATGGTACAGTATTGTGTGCAGTTTGCAAGAATTCTAGGAATGTTACATGCATTTCTCTGACTCACATCTATGCCCACATTCCTGGAAACTCTTGGGAACACCTCTGCCCCAGATGGCCCTACTTTCTGTGACCCCGTGGCTCGTTGAACGGTTCACTATACACTCAGGGGCGGAGTGCACTGTATCTGTCTAGAATTAACAGGTGCCAAGTCTTGCTCAAAATCATGAAATGATGGCAGTCCCATGCAAACAATAACCCTAACAGCAACCACCGTCGCCATGGCAATGTATGTTTTCATTGCCAGTCTTGTTTATCATTAGGTATAAGCGAGGCAGAGGATGAACATGTCTATGAAAATATGGATGTCGACACTCCCGGTACAGATGGGAAAGAGGGAAATGTTGACAGGGTCAGTCAACGTCAATCCTCAGTTAACGACGTGCCACAAGCGGCACCGGCAGCAGGTAAGAAAATCACTGTTAAGCTCAGAAATATCAACAAGCCGCCGGGGGGGGGGGCAAAATCTATATCATTTCGAGTATAATCTCATCAAGAAGTTCAATAACTATCAAGGTAATCCATCTAAACCTTATCGAGTTATGCTGATCACGCACACACACACGCACACACACACACAGTCACATACACGCACAAACACACACACATGCACACACAGAGAGAGAGAGAGAGAGATAGAGACATGAAAACATAGCCTTCTTGACGAAGGTATCATAGTAAGGTACTTCATGTATAATGTAAAAGTATAGCGAGTTCAAAAAAAAAGAAACCAGGTAACACAAGTTCCAAACAAAGAAATTGCAATGCTGTGAATATTTTCTTTGTATAAAGTAGTGTAAGTTCTATTGCCTACTTAGTATATTGTTTTTTTTTACAGGTGCCGTCAACGAAAGTGACACCTCCTGTTTTAGACGGATGTTTCGCACTACCTTTTACCGGCTAACCTTCGCCATCGTCATCGTTGGTATCATGATGAGTATGGTGGTGATGACAATGATCATTCTTAAGACTATATCCACCTCTAAAGCTCAGGTTTGTGGAACTACAACTACAATTTCACATCTCCAGTACATGATTTTAAGACATTTCAAGTCAACGCAGTATGGGAAGTAGTGCCTGATATTTTTGCATTGTACCATTCTATGAAGAATAAGTACATGCACATGATGTATATATCGGTCTCATAAGACCTAGAAGAAGAGTCTTTTTCATGAGAAGAAAAGAAGAAGATTCTTTTCTTCTACCTACTATTCTATTTCAGGTACCATGTACATGTATGACAATGGTAAGATAAATTATAATGGCTGTACATGTATGTTGGTCTGTGCGCGTGTATATTTTTTTAAAGTTAAGTTTTGGTATGTTTTACCAGAAGGTATAGTATGCTATCTTCGATTACAATGTATATCAGTACATACCAAACCAGATGATAGAATAACAAGAGAATAACAATAGCTGCATGAGTAGACATTAACTTGTACGTATGTATCTTAGTTATATATTCATCAATGCTGTTTACATTATTTCTATATTAGTTATGTACATTTTCGCCCATTTGTGTATGATTTAAAAAATTCATTGTAAGTCAATGGAAAATGACTGAAAAGGACTCTATATAAATTTACTACCGTACTTTGGCTCTACGGTACTCTTGTTCTATTAAGACCCTACCCTGGGTGCCAAACTAGTACGTATCGGGCCTTTAGTCGTTTTCCTTCGGCAGCCAAGAGGTCTTCGCCCGCCTATCTAAATTACCGCTACGGGGGAGTTGAGCCCAAGTGGAATTTGGCTAGCCCTAGAACTAGTAGGGCCAGTCAAACTCCCCCCGGGCTAGACTACCCCGTAGCGGTAATTTTAGATAGACGGGCGAAGTGCTCTTGGCTGCTGAAGGGAACAGCTAGCGGCCCGAAACCAGTTTGGCACCCAATGTACTAAGACTCCTGTGTCTGTGTCCCTTGCTAAGCCACACCGTCCATCGCATTGGCCCACTCCACTTGAGGAGTCTTCAGTCTCATCAACCATGTCAGCTGAATCTACGACAGAAGCAACCATGATGCTGCCTACAGAGCAATCAACCGCCATGCCGCTCAACACAACTATGGCTATGGTACACCGTGGCTTAGACGAGACGGAGTCTCCCGGCAAAGGGAACCACACATGCGGTAAGAGGCATATGACCTTCTCTAACTGGCTTCCCCCAAAACGTGTGAGCCTTCATGGCAGGAACCTCAGATCCAAACACCAGATAACACAGTTTAAATGTAGGACGGAACGATATAGGAAGAGCACATTGCCGTTCTTAGTGGACCTGTTAAACGCCGAACAGCCCAAGACAGTCCTTGAGTAACACATGTATATTCATATTTATACTAATGTTTATGCATGACATGTTTTTCTTAGAGAATATGATTTATAGCGTTGGAGTTAGAATTAATGTCGTTATCTTGCGCTGATTTTAACAGTTGTCCCTTGTGGTTGTTTGCTTAATGCTACGTTACCTAAGTATCACTGAGTGGAGCTTTTTAACAATGTAATGTAAAACATACATCATTTCAGCTGATAATGGCTGCTACTGTATGTTTTGTACGATGTGTAGTTTGTATCGAAATAAAACCATTCATATATATACAATACACCAGTCTTCTGGAACCTGTGGCAATGGTTGACATACATCGCATTTGTATGTAAATATATCAAAGAATGTTTTAGATCTTAGAACAAGAAGTATAAGTTGATTCATCTATAGTCTTGTACGTAGGTTAATTCTTTTGTACCCACTCGTCTGTCTGTATGTCTAGTTATGGGCATTATTACGAAAGTCACTGCTTTTCAATAACGTTCTTGTACTGTCCAACACAACGGGTGTACCCACCCTTCGGCATGACACAGCTAATTTTAGTTCATTCACTTGTCTAGTAAAATATTTATTTAATGGCTGGTCCATTATGTTTTTCTCATTCTATCGTTTTTTTTTCTATCGTCTTTTAAAAAAAATACACAACACGTCACGTCCTTCAGTGAAGTCTATTATTGCTCAAGTGTCTTTTGTAAAACGTCCCATGTTCTTTCTGAGGCAGTTGGCACGGTCAGCATCGTAAGGCGGAGCCCATTCGTATCCTTTCACTTTTTCACCGCCTGTTACCTCCAAACTGAAGCCAGGTATCCATTTTACTGGGTATAGAGTAAGGAAAGTCGTGTTTTAAAAGTGCCATGGCCAAGGACACAACGTCTAGCCAGGAATGTCAGAGATCGAACAAGTGACCATTCGACACCAACAAGAAAAGGCAAACTAAAGACAAGTTCTCCTATCATGTTTGCAGCCCCAGGAAAATGCCGTGACTGTGCTGAGATCTACGAGGGAGGATCCACTACAAGCGGCGTTTACCTCGTCACCCTGCAGAACAACACACCTGTGGAGGTCTACTGCGACATGGACACTAACGGTGAGGTAGAAACATGAAAGTATTATAAAAGGGATTATTACCTGCATGAAAAATGGAGGTATTGTTTTTGGTGTGTCTGTGTGTGTGTCTGTATGTCTGTGTTTCCGCACATTTGTAGTCAGCATAACTTCAGAACGCCTTTATGGATTGTGATGATATTTGGTATGTTGGTAGGTCGTAGGAAGACAAAGGTCAAGGCCATACATTGGTCTCCTGCTGGCTGACCTTAGTAGTGCAGCATGACTTTCGGTTTTTGTATCTTTTGGTGACAGATAGCTTTTCCTGTCAAGGATACATGGTGTGGGTTTTTCCCCCTAGCAGCTTGTTCTGGAACTGCAGGGCAGTTTCTGGCGAAATCTTTTAAAGCGGATGAGTCCAGAAAGAAACAACGTATTTTCATCATTTTTGTTATGTAGGTTGTTTACAGAGAGATGTACATAATCAAATGCAAATGGTGCAAATGAATACAATACTTAATTTGCATAACAAAATAGAAATTCTGTAATTACAGTATTTTACAAAATAGTACTTTCATTAATATGCATACATTGTGTTAATATAGAGGTCATTTGCATAATTAATGAGGACATGTTTACTTCACAGAGGATTGTGCCTTAGGGATGTGGTATGTGTGAATGGCGATGATCCCAGAGAACGGATCGGAGCTTTCTTTCGGTGTCATTTTCAGTTTGCTCCTGTTGGTTATTCTTTTACCCAGGCGGGGGTTGGACTGTTATCCAACGCCGGATTGACGGAACTGTTCCGTTCAACCGTAACTGGGAGGAGTACAAACGGGGGTTCGGGAACAAGGACGGGGAACACTGGCTGGGGAACGACAACATCCACCTCCTGACCAACCAGAAGGACTACAGGCTGCAGCTCTTCACAAATAACATGGCGTTAACGTGCAGCCGGGGTTTCTTCAAGTAAGGCCACGCCGTCTTAATTAAGGAATGACATTCTATGAAGACCCCCAAATTAGTGCGTGCGGGCGTATAAAAATAATTCCGGCAAAAAAAAAATTTAAAATGCTACTTAACCACAGGAATACAAAGTTGGTATTGTGAATTTGCAGCAGTACATAGCGACGTACACGACAAGCTGGCACATACTGGCTTTTTGCGGAATTTATGAATCGGCACTGTACGTATGTACTGATGATGTTCTTGAGTCGTGTAGCTTTGGTGCCATCGGTGCCATCCTCCAGGGTTACCACCGGCTCCTTATTGTCGCTAACTACCATGGGTTACCTAATTTCCAAGCAGATCTTTTGGTGGAGGTCTGTACCACCAAAAGATCTGCTTGGAGATTATGGACTGTTTTTGATGGTAGTCCAGACCAAACAAAAAATAGTAGCCCCTAAAAAGGGGCGCACAAAACGATAGATAAACCACTCTACCTTGGAAGAGGTGGACAGTATGATCACCGTGCCATCTCTGCCAGGAGATTATAGACTACCCAGCTCTAGAAGCAGAGGACGTGATTCTTTTTTTTTTTTCTGGTAAAAAACAGACGTGCGTTGATGTCCTGGCAAAGCTTTCTTATATGCATGTGGTGCTAAGTTTAATTTCCTAGCATTGTTGGCATTCTGTTTATTAACTTAACTAATCAGGACAATACCTTGCGAGTACAATGAGTACATGTAAACGGAAAAACTAGAGTTCCACGATCTCATTCCTTCGACAAATGATCTTCAGACAGCAATTCTAGCACTTTTATCATATATTATGCAAATAAGACCCCGATTTGCATGAATTATGACTGATGCTGCTGACTTTAACCCAACTTTCAAGTGTCACAGGTGTATACTCCTCTCCATTCAGCACTATGGTATTATGAAATTTTGTCATAAATTACGCAAATGAGATAGCATATTACAAAATTGGTATCCGATGATGTTCCTCTCTTCTTTGGTTATACATGTATACGTATATGTCACAAGATTTGATGTCTTATGGTGAAATACATGTGATTTATTTACCTTTTGTTTGTTATTCTTTTCACTTTCAACATTGTAACACCTCTGGTCTATAACTGTACTTTTTATTTGTTGTTTAATGTACAATTTTCCCTTTTCAGAGTATCTGATGAAAGGAATGACTACAGACCTGATCATGGAAAGGGCAAACCTAACAGTAACTGTGATAGGCTCATCAAGGATACGTTTGGACAAGCGTTCTCTACTGTGGACAGGGACAATGATAATGTCCAGACCATCAGCTGTGCTAAGCTCTATGGAGGAGGGTGGTGGTATGGGTATTGTGGTCCCACCACATTCCTTAACCAACAGTGGGACTGTGCAAGAAATCCGAAATGCTGTCCATGCCCTATCACGGTAAAACCGATGTCTTTGAAGCTCAAACCATAACTGTGTAATATATAATTATACAATTATATATAACATCCGTGTCCATGATATCACCAGGGTCCATAATATCGCCACCTTGAGAAATAGTGTGCTTTAAGATATTTTTACTGCAACATACTTTTGGTATGCACTCCTGCACACCTCAAATGTACATACCTAGGGTATGTTGCAGTAAAAATATCTTCTATTTCTCAAGGTGGCGATATTATGGACCCTGGTGATATTATGGACACAGATATTAACACAGTGTATTCCGTATCACCCGAGGTACCAGCCCATGATGCACGTGTTGTGTACATGTTTTATTTATGTCATACCCACCCAAGAAAATGGTACCTTTCAATGCGAAATGAGCCAAGTGTCCCTAAACAAAAATGCAACATCATCAATTCCAACGTCCAAATCCTGTATGCGAATTTTCACAAGCAGCGCATGCAGTTAGGGCGAAATGACGCGTTTGAATTGTTCAGCTATTTATAAGTAGTCTTAAAGCATGCTTAAAGGTTCTGTTTTGGCACTCTTAAAGCAACTTTAAGTGATCTTAATGCGTACTTCAATATCTCTTTTACGCTAGCTTTAAGTTTGTTCGTAAAGGTGCTTAATGGCACTCATTTAATCAACATTTTAGCAATGTAAAGTAAACTTAAATTGTTATATTTAAGGTACATATAAGTGACGTAAAGTGTCCGTAAAACATGTGCAGTAACACTTATTTAAGTAACACGTAATTACTATAAAGGACTCTTTAATCACATTGTTTACCCTACATATAAGTGCCGTGAATTGTACTGATTTTCAAATTGACAAAAATCCTGAGCTCCTATTGGTGTTCGTCCTTTTTGAAATCAGTCCCGGCTCAGAGGTGAACGGGCACGATTTCTGTAGGAAGAAGCTCAAAAGATCACTTAGTGGTGAAACTCTGCTGTGTACTTCTGTTACAATGTATAGTAATATTAGCTGTTCATTTCCACTAGTACCTTTATGCTTTAGAAAGTGGATATCTTTTGTTAAGGATGCCATACTGATTGCACATTCCTTGTGTGGGTAAAGAACATGTACAGAAATCATAAAAAAGAGAACACAAGATTGACAAACGAAAATGATAATAATTGCACCACGTAAAAGAAAGAAAGACATTGTTACTCCATTACGAGAAATATTGATGCATTTAAGTTAAAAAAAAGCGTTAGAAAACAATGTGTCATTCTCATAACCTAGTAATACTATAGCCTACCAAAGTAAGAAAATGTACATCCAAAGATGTACTGCATATAAATAAAAGAAAGGGCTTAGTTCGTTAAATACTTCCTCTCTATTGTTCTTCTTCATTCATTTCCTTTCTAATAAAATATACTTCTCCATTATTTGCACACAGTCCGAAGTGTAAAGTGACACTTATTAACCAGACTGTGTTTACATTCTGGTGGCACCAAAAACTGTTTTAGTACCAACCACAAGTGTCAGAAATGTGAGATAATTGCACAAATATGCTAAAAAGTGGAAGTAAATAGCACTAAAAAGAATTTTTCCATTAAAATATTTCAATTTTTGTTTTAAAAAATGGTACATAATGCCCCTTTAACATTATCTCCACCAACATGAACAACCAAACCATTTATGGCTAGGCTTTGTTCCAACACAAGAAGGGAACTTGCCATAAATTTTCAGTCAATCTTGTTAACCTTCGTCAGGTGTGTGATTCATTTGCTGACTCTGTGATGATGGTAGGAGTGCATAAAAAAGTTAGCCTCCTTTGCAGACTTGTAGAGCCGCAGCATTATTTTTTGGTGAGCGATGCGAGTTATGCCGCGCAGGAACGGTTTTGCCGCCGAGGGAATTTTGCCTCTCCCCAGCAAAACCACGTCGCTTGCATTGCTCACAAAAAAAAATTTACCGGTGCCGCCCTACAAGTCTGCAAAGGAGGCTAATCAAAAGTGGCGGGAATGCACTCCTGACGTCATCACGTTTCCGACTTCCAGTGAGTCAGAGAGTACAGCACACATCTGACAAAGGTTGATGAGATCAACCAAAAAATTTATGGTGACTTGCTTTTTTGTGTTGAAACAGAGCTTGAACTCTATATAACTATGGATTCTGCAACCAACACAGATGAGCTTTCGTTCTAACCATTTATGGCATGATCCACAGGACAGACAGAGTGCTGAAGTGCCCCTCCCCCACACCGTTGATCCTGCCACGTTTGCAGGTCATCTGTAGATAGATCTGGGAACCTTCTTCCACATCGTAGGAACCGCTTAGATAGATGCCCTCTGCTTTCGCGTTAGTGTTACCGAGAACCTGTATATGTACAAACAGAGATGTGACAATAGTAAATGGTGTGAAAGATATAATAATATAAAATATAATAATATAAAGACAAAAGCAGCAAGTTGCACAGGCCACCATGGTTTGGGACTTTCTTCTGTATCTATATTGGTATTGCTGGTATAACCGCCCTTTGGTGGTGATCTGTTACACCCAGTCTTTGCACATTTAATTCCAGCATTCTATTGATGATGCTTCAACTGTGCTTGTTTTTGTGCAAGGTCACACACATTCTCGTCACACTGTATTCGTGTGGGAGCAAATTTCAAAATGGCTCTTGAAATTGTAATGGAGGTGTTCTTTTGTCAAGTAGCTAGTAGGGGTAGTGCAACACAGGTTCGCTACTGCTAGCATACAGCTCGCACACTATCCTATATTGAGTAATTTTCACTTACTGCATTTTTGTCTCTGTAAACCCAAGGCAAAATGATTGGCTAAGCATTAATTTCATTCGGTGAGTTGAAATTTCTGTATTACCTGCTGCATGAAGGGAACAGGGTCCGGTATGGCCAGGCCTTGATAGTACGCTGTGATGCTGGCGTAATCACACGAGTGGATGATGTTCTGGTGGTAGTTTACGTTCACTCGCCCTGGCTTCAGAAACCTGAGGAGAAAAACAAAAAACGTGCTAACTATTGCTAGCCTGGTTACCAAACCTATTATAGCTCCCAAGTCCTACATCCTCTCCGCGGAGAGGATGTAGGACTCGGGAGCTATAATAGGTTTGGTCCCGACTCGGGAGCTATAACAGGTTTGGTAACCAGGCTAAACTATTGCCTCATTTATGTCTGTATAGCTACTTCATCTATGTCTGTATATGTTACCATTTGACTTCATTCAAATGGAATGATTTCCTTCTACAAGACAAAATGGAGAAATTCATCTGACATTGTCACAACGGTTTGTTTCAGTAGTGTGTCAGTGTATAACCTTTTGTTTGGGACATGCTTGAGCCAAAGCCTATGAATCGAAGTTTAGGCCTCATATTAAAGAGCAGAAGAGAGTTTGGTTTCAAATTTTGAATTTTTCGTCTAGGGCATGGTATTGGAAGGTGGAGCCCATCCCTCTCCTTCCACTGCCTTTTACCTCCCCAACCGAAGTTAGGTATTCATTTTACACCTGGGAGGGATGAGGAAAGTCGTGTAAAGTGCCTTTCCCAAGGGCATTAAAGATCGATGCCAGGATTCGAAACTGGAACTTCTTGTGTCTGAGCAGAATGCTCTACCATTACGCCACATGACCCCACACATCGCTGTATGATATTATTTTAGTTGTTTGTTTATTGCAAATTCTTGCCCGAGGGCTAATTGTAGGAACAGAAGAAACATGGTATGAAAACAGACAATTAGTACATATATAGAACTAAGAAACTACTGGTAAAAACTACTACTGGGTTTGACTTCTTTTTTGAAGAGAGAGGAAGACAAAGGATCCCACTTTTTCTATAATTTGTGGGTTTTCGGATGTTAAGAGGAGAGTAGTTTTCTTCTCATTTGTATATGTGTGAAAATTTGGATAGAATTTGGAGGCTACGTCAAAGAGTTCATTTCGTTCATTGCTATAGAGGGTACAATTTGAGATAAAATGCATTTCGTCTTCCACCGTATTCAACGTACAATGTTTGCAAATTCGTTCATATGTACTTGGAGCTTCTTGTACCGCCCTCTCTCAATATCATTTTAGTCTAAATTCTCTTAATACACAATGATTGACCTTTCTCGCTATGCAACACTCACATGACCCTGCCATTCTTGTTGAGTTTGAGGATGCTGCTGTCCGTGTTGTTCTTCTCGGTGAAGCGCAGCACCTGTCTCTGAGCCACGCCCTCCAGCTGTCCGTTGTTGTACAGCTCACCCATCAGGACAGCAGACTTCTGGTGGGGTAACCACAGGACGTTCAACCCGCCGATACCTGTGAACGTGGTCAGAAAAGCACCAACATAATAATAATAATAAATGGTTTATTGGCCAAACATCACCCGTGCAATTGCAGCCTTATAGTGCTGAATTGATGCAGGGTTTACAATCACACTACAATTATACAAATGGTAATAATATATATAATAATACACATAATGATACATTACATAATTTTTTTATTTGTTCCACATTTTTGTGGAATTGTCGCAAGGGTCTGTGCGGCTGCCATTCGGCGCCACAAGGCGACCTCAATACGGCTTTCCCCAACCGAAGTTAGGTACCCATTCACACCTGGGTGGAGTGAGGAAAGTCGTGTAAAGTGCCTTTCCCAAGGGCACAACGTGGGGGCGCATGATTGTCCAGACATGTCCCGGGTATGACTCGGGATTGAACTCAGGTCTCCCTGACATGACATGCAGTACCAGAGATTTTTTTTTTTAAATTCAAACGTTTCATGACCAAATATGGAAACAGCACACTCAAGTTATATCAATTTATTTTATACGGCCACCAACACAGGGTACAAATACAGGACAGAACAATAGTCATTTTCACTTGAGTTAAGTGAGGAAAGTCGTGTAAAGTGCCTTTCCCAAGGGCACAAGATCGGTGGCATGCCAGGACTCGAACCCAGGACCTCTTGGTTCCAAGACGAGCACTCTGCACACAACCCCATACCAGAGTTTTCAACCAAGGATTGAGGTGTTCAAAAAGTCATTCTTTCCTAGAACTATTAAAGAGTGGAACTGTCACCAAGTACAGTAGGGGCATTATCATTAGATACAGCTTTAAAAACAATGTCTAGAATTAGATGTCCAAGGGATAGGTGTAACAAGTCATTGGGTGAAATGTAGCCAGCTGCAACCTCACCACGTGCCTGCAATAGGTCGGTGTGTTATGGCAAAGGGCAGTTATTCCGCCTATACAGATACAGATCTTGTTCGTACCTCGTTGTCATGGACAACCAATGACCTTGGCTCATCACTGTCTCAGCTGTTAGGTCTAGAGGTGGCTGATAAGGCCAATCCGGGTCAGGAAACCTCACCCACACGTTGAGCCAGTGGGTGGGTGTGTTGCTAGTACTGGTAAAGTAGGCCTGGCCTAAAGGCTTTCGGGTTGCACGCTAAATCTCATTGCAGAATCGGTCCTTTTCTTTTCAGCTTTATACAGATAAACATTCACAAGTTTCCCATTCCCAGGATGCATTGCAAAAACAGGGGTCTAAACCTCTTTGCATACATTTTGTAGGACAGGAAGGCATCGGAATGATCCTGTTGACGTTAAACAGATTGTTTTTCTTAGTGTTTTGAGGTGATGGGGCATTTTATGCTCAACATTAATCAAATTATTATGGGTCAAATCTGACAACAAAATTAATAGAGAATGAACTTTTTGTGTTCTTTTAATTTGGAACATGTGATTTGTAACGTTACAGCATCTCTATTTGTTGTCAGGTTCAACCCATAGTAATTTAATCAACGTTGAGCATAAAATGCCCCAACACCTCAAAACACAGTGAAAAGCAAGCTGTTTAACGTCAACAGGATCATTCTGATGCCTTCCTGTCCTATGCAAATGAGGGCTAGCCCCGTTTTCACAATGCATTCTGGGGATGGGAAACTCGTGAATACAGGAAAGGCTATTGGTGGTCTTTGGCCTGTTGTGCCATCTCTTACCTGAATCGGACCCGAGGAAGTACATGGTACAGTCACGTGCGCTCTCAATCTCCATAAACAACCGGTCACCCGCCTGGACGGGAACAGCGGCCCCTGTCACCAAAGTCATGTACTGCATGTTGACGCCAACGTTCATGTGCTGCAACAGCTATTCAAGCATAATCAGAAAGGAAAGAGAACAGGTTAAATAGGAAGAAAAAAAAAGTTGAGCAGTACAACAGTACAGGTGTAGCATATATTAGGGCAAAGCAAGATGACAATTCAATACTCGCAAAGTGTAGGCCAAATAGCCAGGGAACGAATATTTTTTAACAACTTTGACAAGTTTCCTTAATGTCTATGTACATGTACTTTGTTCCGCCATCTTACCTGATCATAAATCGGACCTACATCAATTCTATGTACTATGAGTAATACAGCGATTCTATGTTCTACATTGTATGATTAATACACTCACTCGGTCACTGATTAATAATGTACATGTACATCAATTCTAGGAAACTACTTATAATAGAGCCATACAATTGTAACTCTATAGGGACCTTTATTGTCGCATAGTGCGATGTTACCCAAAGGCTCAAATGCCTGTAACCCTCTTTTTTGGCATCAGTAATCAAACCGTATGAACTAGAACACTCAATGATGTCCCTATGAACAGTTGGATTGTTTTTTCCCCACCTTGACTGTTCCCCCGCCCCTGCGCAGTAGTTTCGGTACCATGACCACGCCCTCTGGTCCGGAGCAGGCTAGGCCCTGCAGGTACATGGCCTGGTGGAAGGAGAACCGCACGTTTCCTTCACGACGAAAACTGGACGAAAGAAACAAAACATGATGTTCAGGAGAACTTGCACTTCTTGTTCTGCCGCTCAGAACCTTGCAACGTGCCACTAGGTTCTCTTGCAGTTCTCATCAATACACCGTTAACATACCTGTCTCCAAGTCATTTTACAACAACAGCTTCTTTCCCCGGACTGCAAAATTATGGACCTCTCTTCCAAACAGATGCTTTCCGTCCGACTACAATCCACAAAGCTTCAAAACAAAGGTCCACCGCCATCTCCTGACATAACTACATTATACTCACTTAATAAGTACCTCTAGCTCTATGCCTAGAAGTGGCCAAAAATAATTGGCCCTGCATTGAGCGACACCGTTAAAAAAAAAAAAAACAAACAAACAAACAAATGATACAGTGAAGTAAAAATAGCTGAAACTAACAAGACTACTAGTACATGTAATACTTGCTATTGTCATTTTACTTCTCCAATAGGCATTCCTTTCAGCACGTCGGCAGAACTTACTGTGCCTGTTCAAAACCCTGATTTTTCACGGTTTTTGTTGGAGGTTTGGTCAAAGTTTTATCAGAATTTTGCCTGTTGCAGATGATACCAATCATTTCGGATGTAAGTATCATGTAACATTTGGAAACACACAGATATGATGTTCTGCTGAAGTGCTATGCACAATAGATTTTGGGTTTTGCGCAGCTGCAGTACGTTCTGCCAATGTGGTATACATAGTCCTTTGCATCGTAGACCACTCCCTTTGCATTGTGGGAAACAAACATGGCAGCCAAACATGGCGGCACCCATACACACCTGCAAAAATAATAGAAATAAAAGTTTTGATGTACATCAAACTTGTAAATACCTGATGAAATTGGAAGACTTCAGTTGCAACATGTACGGATCAGAGATTGACTGCAGTTCAAAGTCCACCCGCCAGGAGCCCTCGTAGGTAGCCTGTTGCATGGAGGCCTTCAGAAGTGCTGCACCAGTTTTGTGCGAGAGCCAGAGGATGCTGAAAGGACCAGACCTCTCCACATCAGCCACCTGAAGTAAAGCAGTTGGTAAGTGCAGTACTCATATTTGTTACTAGGAGCACAGATGGTCCTGAAAGGGAGTGACGACTGTAATTCAGCATTTGGCTGCTACATGCATATGTATGTATCATCATAGTCTCCAAACAATTTACATTCGTTAACATATTTAACAAAATTTTGTGGCCAACTTCTGGGGTTGTGTGGCATTGTGGGAGCAACTTACATGTAGGTATTGTCAGTGGCAAAACTTGCTACGAAACCCAATTGCTGTCCTTTTTCAGCACTCAGTTCCAATGCGGAAAGTGGCTTCTAGTGCTGAGAGCGCAAAAGCAGGCATCCGCACTGCAAACTGGAAACCACATGCATCTTTAATGGCCACCAAGATGGCGGACACCATTATGTCATTGTCACATGACAACAAACACGGCGTACCTCAGCACGTCGGCAGAACGTACTGCGCCTCCGCAGAACCCTGGATTTTGCGGTTTTCATTGGATTTTTCGTCAACCATTGCTTTAGAATTTTGCCTGTTGCAGACGATATCTTTTCCGACATAACATCTGAAAACTACTGTTGGAATGCTAACCTTATATGAGCAAATACAACCTTATTTGAGATGTTCTGCCCAAGTGCTATGTACAATACATTACGGGTTGTGCGCAGGTGTAGTACGTTCTGCCAACGTGCTGCGTACCTCCTTTAACTGGGTGGTCGTCCTATCCCCTGGCGGGTAACATTCCCGGTTGTTACTGCGTATCTCCACACCTAGAGTCTCCCCGGGTGTCACCGCCATGGCCGTACTGACGGTGGAGCTCTGGTAGTACCGCCCCACGGTCTGCTTCAGCCTGGTCCCTGCCTCGGGCACTCCGTCCCAGTCTACACTCAACTGCATGTAGTTGGAGCAGGTGTGCTTCAACTAAAGTCGGAGAGGGATAGTCATTACGTACAAACAAAAACGGAGCTATTATTACATGCCAATTGCAACACTACACTAGTACTGTATGTACTATAGGGTTGTGACAAGGTGTATCAGTGGAAAATTGATTTTGTGCAACATACACGTGTGCACGCACAAAAGCCCACCCATATTAAACATAAAATTCATACCATAAAGGACATTGAATACACAGTTTTTTACAGGATTGAAATGTAATTTTTATTCATTGTTACAAATTTGCCTGTGTTCATCTCTAATCTATGCTGTTTCTCACTGGCATCCGGCCCAATTCCAAAACCTCCTCCACCGGCTTTAACCTTGTGGGACCTAACGTCCTGTATCTGACCTTTTGGGGTCTTCCTACATGACAGGTCTGTGGTCTGGCTAAGAAATTTCCTACTGACGTACTATCACTCGACTGCACGTCGAGCACATGCATACACACCCAAAACAGAAACAGAGCAATATGCATAAGCTACTAACAGCGTAGTTGATGTCCACCAGAGCGAATCCCGCCTTTTCCAGGATGACGTTCTGATACGATTGGTCCCGGCTGAAGTAAGAGTCGTTGGACGACCTGATTGGTCGCAGTTTTAGCTTGTCGCCGCCGGGGATGTTGTTGTAGGAGTTGTTGCGGATCTCGGAGAGGTAGAGGGCGGAGAAGAGGTTGGGGACAGGCGGGGAACACAGGGTGTCGCTGACCAGATGGCACGGCACGATGGTCCGACTGCCGTCTCCCATGCATCGCCGGCACTTCTGACACTGCTGTGTGTTCTGTGGATAGAAACCAGTAGGATTGGATAAATACCAACTCGTGTCAACAATGTACGAATCTCAATTTTTGTTACTGGGCCTAGGAACAGAATGTTGTTTCCTGTTTTAGTCCTGAAAAAATTAGGGTAGGTACACATGTAGGTAAGGGTTATCTTTTTTTCTTTTCTTTTTTTCTACATAAGTATTTTCTTTTAGACTTCGGCGATCTCTAGTGATCCAACTTGTACAATACAGTACTAGTTTAACAAAATAAAACTTGCACGAGGACACATTTTCAATGTCAATGTAAGAAAACCTATATTGTAGTACAACGTTTCATCACTCAGGTGTCAGATTGTGGAGCTAGAAATGGTCAATTAGCTTGAAAAATCTATGTTCCTTGCAGGGGTCCACCAAAAAAAAAAAGCTAAGGATTGGTAGTTTTTCTAGGGCTGTTATGTTTTAATGATTTCTACATTTTTTTTGTTCTGAAGGCAATGCAAAGCCAGTTCATCTCTTAATCTCCCAGAAGACAAGCAAGTAAAAATTGCAAGCAATCACTCAGTGACTGAGCCAAAACAAAACGAATATAACACAACCTGTCAACATCTACTTGGAGCTGAGATACACCAACCCTACCTACCCTTACCGTGTTATAGAACTGGTTGGGTCCACACAGTATGTACTTCCCCATACAGTAGAAGCTCCCGGGTACGTTAACACAGGTCTGGTCCTTCTCACAGTTGTTCATCCTGTTGGCGGTACACTCGTCTATATCCACACAAACTGTGTCAGTCGCCCCTGAGCACTGGGCCTGGCTCTTATACCTAAGATTGAACATGGCACAATGGCTAATAAGGGAGGGGGCAAAAGTTATAGACAGAGAAGACAATAGAAGAACCCGCTGGATCAAGGAGGCAGTTTGGATCAGAAAGTCAGCCCCTGTAATGAACCGGGACGAGGGGGGGTACAAACTAAGCCACGTTTGGGACAGTGTTCTCGCCACAAAAGCGCCACCTACATCGGCTACATATAGCGGCGAGATGCGGTACTCCAGTAGAAGCTCTGAGGAACGTGTCTGACAGACACCGAAACGTTAGCAAGGTGAGAAATTACTGATTGTGTAAAAAGAAATACCTGTCTCCTAAGTTCTACCAACCTGATGAAACTATTTTCGGATGGCTAATAAGTACTGTTTTTTTTTTGGAGAAATAATACACAAGTATCATATTTGACAGTAAAACTTTTGTTCCAACACGATATTGTTCTCAACTACAGCATTTATCCAGATTGCCTTTGAGTGACCTAGTGTTGACGTCACACTTCAGCCACGTAAAGAGTCTCACTGGGTCAGTCTATTGAAGAAGACCAGAGTAACTGGTCGGAAGCTCTAGGTGAGAACAATCTCTTGTGTTGGAACGTGTAACTACCAACACAGAAGAACTTAGCCAGTCCTAAGTACAAAATGTTTAGATAAAGTTTAAATTTTATAATACATGTATAATAACATTTGCTGCTCTTTTCTTTAAATCTAAAACCTTGTGTATTTTAATCATCTCTTAAAGTCTAGATTTAATAGCCTGGGAGCCATTCCTCCTTGATTTTTCACAGTTTTCCATGGACTTTTGGTCATCAGAATTTTGCCTGTTGCAGACGTTATCTTTTCTGACACAAAATTTGGAAACTAAAGCTGGTGTTAACCTTATATGCACAAGTACAACCTTATATGCGCAAATACAACCTTATATGAGACGTTCTGCCAAAGTGCTATGCACAATACATTACAAGTTTTGCGCAGGTGCAATATGTTCTGCCGACATGCTTATGTTTACTGCTCAGGGTTCTAGCTAGCACAAAGTTGCATAGGGGCCCCCTACGCTAAAATTTTGCCCCCCTACGCTAAATTTCTCCCCCTACTCTATAATTTTGACCCCCTACGCTAAATTTCCCCCCCTACACATACAGCATAGGGGCATTGTGACTGTATTTCTTTGTTCAAGAATGCCAGATCAAATGTGAAAAATTACCAGTCAAGGATACATTGTACATTTTTCCCCTTTGGGTATCCCTCAAATGGCCCCTTTTTTAGCTCAAAGCTCCGCAGAAGGAGAGCCCATCGACAGGCGGCCAGTACCACTACGCTAAAATTACATCCTAGCTAGAACCCTGCTGCTTACCCATTGGGACAGGAGGAGCAGGGTATACAGGTGGGTGGAGCCGTGCTGACATCACACCACTCCCCCTGTGTGCACAGCTGACACTCCTCTATAGTAAGATCCACAGGTCCACTGTCACGGCCCTGAAGCAGCTCCCTGGAGGGGGGTGGGGGTGGGCGAGATTTAAAAACAGAAAAGGGAATGCAGTTGGAGGTACGTACAATGTATCTGGTGAAAAGTTTCAAACTGTGTATAGGTGTGTGTGCATGCATGTGTACATATGTGCATGTATATTTGTGAGTGTGTCTGTAAGCTTGTATGTCTGTGTGAGAAAGAGTGAGTGTGTGTTCGTCAACTTTTGCGAATGTGTGCAATATAATGCGGCTATGTCTACAATGTATATCACACTCAGAGTGTGTGTGTGTTCATGACTACATGTGTATCTACATGTATGTGTCTGTGTGTGTTTGTGTGTGCTTGAATGTGTGTGCATTTCTGTGCGTGAGCATGTGTGTGTTTGTGCATGTGTGTGCAGGCGCACGTGTGTGTGAGCGGGTGTCTGTGGGTCAACATAATTACGTACATGTGCGTATATGTTTGCCAGTGTGAGAGAGTGTGTGTGTGAATGTGTGTGTGTGTATACATGCATGTGTGCGAAGTCTGTTTTAGTACATTATGATTACCGTTATTACGTACTTTATATTCCTCCACTGTGCCTCCAGGTTTCTGCGCTGCTCCTGTATGGTGGCGTTCTGTCTCTCCAGCTGAGATTCCAGCCGGCTGGAGACAGAGGTGCCCTGCTGCTTCAGGGAGCTGCAACCAAGACAAGGACATCAGTTGCATGAAAGTTCATCTGAGTTCATTGCAAATAAAACTTAAAATTCAGAATCAACTGCAAAATGCTCATATTTTGCTCTGAACAGTTGAAAACAGTCCTTTTCATCCTAGTCGTTACAGTTATTCCATCTTTCAATGCAATGGTATCATTAAAAGTTCAAAATTCATTGTTTAAATGTTGAACCAGCCTGGTGTGTTGACTTCATGGCACCTATCGTACCATTTTGGGCCATAATAGGATGCCTAGGCCTGTTTTTATTATTTTTTCGCCCGCCCGCTCCATTATTTTTCTAGAAAAATCCGTTAACAAAGAAATTAAATAGGTGTGGCCTAAAGTAAAATAAAAATAAAACAATAAAAACAAGTATTCTCACCATTGCAAGGGCTGACAGGACAGAACTCAAACCGTTTGTTGGGGTCCGTAGTGTAACACCACGGTCGAATGTACCGACCCGACTGCGAGTCAGTTGGGGAGGGGTTCCGGCAGAAGTTACTGTCCAGCCCCTTGTCGGGGTACTCCTGGGGGGTGTTATCGTGGGCGTGCGGCTGCTGTGAGCTCCACCGTTGACACTCGAGCCCGCTGTCAGTCACCCGCATCTGCCCACGGTAGTCCCGCCCGCCCGTCGAGATTTTATAGCAGTCATTTGCTACAAAATGAGGAGATAATGAATGTTATGAACCAACTGGGAACCATTTGTCAACTATCACACAAAATCCCCACTTTCTTTTTTTTCATTTTTTTATTTTTTTTATTTTATTCAACAAAAGAAAAGAACAAAAGAAGTTGAACCATCCCACTTGACAACATAATTCAACCAGGCCGGCTACATGTATGTTGTCTATATGCAATCAGCAAATAGCACATGGAAGCTCCCAAAGGCCATGAAGACCCCAAACCCCTGGGGCAGTTTTTGGCATGCTATGACTTTGTCTTTGACTTCATTGGGATCCACACTTTAACTTTACAAAAATTGTTATGGAGGCTACCATACCCAGAAGCAACTAACCTCTGGGCTTTATATTTTTATATGTTGTTTACAACAACAATTGTTGCGCGCCGCAGGACTAGGGTTTTAAACAAAGAGTTTATCGAGACCAGACACCCCTCTGTGCGAGGGGTCACCTTCGTGGACGAGACCAACAATACCTAATACACGCCAAAGGTCAACGCTCGCGACCACTTTCACGCTCAAAGGGGTGTTCTGAGGCCACCAAAAGGCACCATTTTCACACCCAAAAACACATATACAACAAAAAAACAAAAGAATGTGCATAAGCTGCAGCCCAATAGCAAAACATATACCAAGTCTCAAAAGAATCCGTCCACCCAAACGCGAGAAACATGAAAGCTGCGAACATGAAAATCTAAATCTCTCACAAAACCCTTCCGTGGAAGGATGTTTCCTCCTAACAAGAATTCATAGCACTAACCTGTCTCTATGACGTCACATTTGAGGTTCATCTTGTCGCCCACATATTGGCTGGAAGCGGCGTGCAGCGTCAGTAACCATAGAAACCACTGCAGACGTCTGTACGCCATGTCATGTAGATCTGGGCTGTATGTCCGTGTTCTGGGATGAAAAAAAAATTGCATATTCATTAAATAGCTAGCATTGAAGAAGGGGGGCCCGCAAGCCCTTTTCCATAGAGCGTAATCAGCCGTTTTAATTCTATAGAGCGTGCTCGGACCGCTCTAATATTTTTGCGTAGAGCGTAATCGCCGTGTTAATTCTACGCAATGCGTTGTAGCCACTTAGAATTTATCGTAAAGCGTAATCGAGAGGTTTCCAAATTCAGCGTAGAGCGTTGTCGGCCCCCCCTCCCCCCCTTCAGGCCCTCAAGAAAGGATTTTTTGCTTGAACTCACGCATTCAGTATTTAGTCATATCTGCTTGGAAATTGGGTATCCTGGAACTCCCACCCCCTTCGTTTTGTCTTTTGACTGAGACCAGATGTTCTCTCCTAGTCTCCACCAGACTTTTTTTGCGGGCTGATAAATAGTAGAAACCATTCATTATTAGGCCTATTTCTACTCTTTATTCAGCCTGCAAAGGAGCATGGTGGAGACTAGTGAATGGCTACAGTACAGGGCCATGGCAACAGTCTGGCACCCAGGCTACATACCAGTAGTATATTTTGTTAGTGGCAAAACGCCATCAACTACAGCCGGGGTGCCAGACTATTTCCATGGTAGAACACATTAGCCAGTTCCTCTGTAAGAAACAGGAGGAGCCAGTAGAAACAGATAAAAACCCCTGGTCCCGGGTTCGAACCCACGACCTCCCGAGCACCAGCTTCATAACCAGATGCTCTAACCACTCTGCTGAAAAGGTCTAGACCCGTCGTCGGGGTCAGTTGGTAGCGCCTATAAACCCCCCACTATTACACCTCGGCTCCAGATAGATAGAGCCAACATGCCAAGTCATGCATG